TCGCTTGGAGCATGAGTCACTAACAGAAGTATTCATCTCCCTGGGTGTGACTGTTATCCAGTGTAACAAAAAGTATATCACAGACGTCAGGAAATTATGTTACATTCATGAGTTAATGTATAATATGAATAGGATTAGTATACCTTAGTAGTCTTTCGCTAAAGACATTATTTGTGAATATTGATAATCACATATTGTTATTGTTTTATTATTGATGATTTTGATGTCTTATACAGCTAGCTTCTTCGCATTCGGTTATCACTCACAATTTGAACGCATGACAAAATCATTTTTCCTATTCTCCCTGGTTTTCATTATGATAGATATGTTATCTATAATGTAATAATTTGTTTCAGATTTGATAATTTCCTCAAATATGGTCCGTTGCATATATGTTCTCACAAATAACTGACTCCCTGATGAATCTTAATATTTAAAAACTTTTAAAAAGTAATCTTTCATTGCTAGATAAGCATAGGGTCATAGATTAGCATAGATTCATAGACAAGGACATAAGTGAAAAGAAAACATTTCTTTAACATATTGACAGACATTTTCAAATAATTGCTGTTACTACTTGTAAGTAGCATAAACTTTTGAATAAAAATAACACACGTTTCTCCTATTCCTCATAATTATTTGGAGATGTTATATGAGAGAGACTTTAGTTTGTCTACCCAAAAATTTTGGTGCTGACAAAAATACTAGTTTTGAGCACTCTCATGCTTCGCCTTCTGTTTCATTCAATTGAACAACGTCACTCAAAATGCTTTCGTTTACGTTTACATCTCATATATGCTGCAAGAAACTACATGTTTTTATTTTAAACTTATATTTTGAAAAATAACCTTTTTTTCTTTTTCTTTCCACTTTTTATTAAGTGAATTAGATCGAGTAAGAATTACATCTGCCACTACTCATTCCTTGCTTTCGGAGTGGAACATAAGGCATGACGATGTTTTAATTTCAAGTAGCATTGGTATTGTTGTTATTACGTATGTATGGGGTTGCTGCCTAGCATTCTACCACCAGGTGGTGAATCAATGGACGAAGATTGTTTGCAGCAAATGAGAGAGGTGTGTATGGTGTTAATTAAAAAGTGAAAAGGACACTTAGATTTGACCTTGACTATGCAGTCAGGTGCTTTACCACTGAACTATACCCCAGGTGTTCCACTTCGTTAGTACTGATTGTCAATCACTAGCATAAAAAATCACGAAATACAAACAAACAATCCTTAACAACTAGCTGAAATTTTTAATGGCAAGTAAAGTTTATTTTATCTCAAGTAGTTATGGTGATCTAATCAGTCATAAGGTGGTAATGACTGTTGTGCCAGTATCAAATTGAAAGTCACCATAAGTCGGAAGGCATTAGACAAGTGCTGTATGTTATTTCGGGTTAATTCGTAGGTATTTACGTATGACTGCATAAAAAATGGACCTAAAATTGTCAGTCCCTAGCAAGATACATACTCCTACAAATTAAGATCTGTAGGTTGACGTTTCAAAACTATATCTAGCGCATGAAATTTCAGGATTACGAAATAGTTACGTCCTGCATTGTGAACGACGTTTTGAGATATATGTCAGATACATATAATCTATTTAATGGAATGTTTAACCTCAAATGCCTGAAACCTGATTTATCTATTCAGAAAGAAGCAATTACCAGTCTTTTCTTGCCCCGCTCTGGTAACTGGATGTCTTCACTGTCCTTTTCTCTCTCTCTTTCATTTGATTACGCAATCTTCGGCTTTAACCTCACTCTACTTTGATATGGTGTAATTTTGCTTGCCTAGTGTTTCTTTGATTTGAGTTGAACCCAGTACATTGTTACCCAATTTATTAGTTAATCTTATCTCTCATCTTATACATCTCTCGTCTTTATGAATTTATTTACTTTGTTTAAACTTGAACTCTCTGCACAGAACTATATAAGGGTAGTTTTCTGAACACTGTTCACTAATTACGGAACTTTCTGTCATGTAAAATTTGCAATTATGTTAAAACTTCTCTGTACATAAACTTGATAATAATAGTTTACTTAGGGTGTACACACGCAGTTAATGAGAAGCCAATGAAATAAATGATGGCACCATATTATTCTGCACAAACCACACTGTTGTTCTTGCCTTATTCAAATTCATTAAGGGGGAATAAATGTATTAAGTGAACTGATTTACTACAGAGTAGCTTTATCCACTCATAGAGTTAAGAAAGATGAGTCGAACTGGTAAATATTTCACATTTCAACAATATTTCCTTCATTACTAAGGCGTACTTGGTAGACTAAAATTAAATAACGTTTCACGATATACTCATATCAAAACTAACATCATAAATATAAAAACAGTATACACTAATAAGATGAAAAATCACCAACTGTCATTCCAACAAAAGAATAATAAATTAACTGCGAATATTTAAAAAACCCATGCTAGCTGACGAAAAGAAAAAGCCTGTACAACAGCACAGAAGAAACATAGAGTATTCATTTAAAAAACTACTTCGTATTATCGTAAATGCACTATCAGTTGTATGCAACCTTCAAATTACTTAGAAAGGACAAGTCTTGAGGTGTACATAATTAGCTATTAAGATAGGAGAACCCGATTAGATATGGAAATTTATTTATTTTTTATTTAATCATAGCTTGATTCCACATAGTATTTTGGTACACTTATGGAGTGCGTTGGTGGCACAGCAGTTAGCATGCTCACCGACCATGCACATGGTCTGGGGTTTGATCCCCAGCCGACACATTCTTTTGCCTCACTTAGCTAGTTCTAATACTGGTAAAGAGGGAAGGTTGGGCATGAGGCTAGCAAACCTATCCTGTAAAAATAAACACTGTTACTAAAACTTCAAGCATCCAGCTTGAAGCCCTATGTTCCACTGGGAACGTGAAGAAAATAAAAAATGGAGTTTTCAGCACGTAATACCGGTAGCCCAAATTTAGCAAGCGGATATCAGGTGTGTGTCGGCCGCGGATGGAACCCTGGACTATGAGCATGGTCGGTTAACGTCCTAACCGCAATGTCACCGACGCACAATTGTGATCATATGTGTCAATGCGTTAAATAATAATGATAGTAGTATGGCATGCAATTAAAATTAAAATGTTCGTGGTTATAATCATAGTGAAATGTCAATTAGCAAAACAATTCATGTCATATATAGAATAATTCATAGGATGTATAGAACTTGGAAGGCATGTGAAATTATAGGTTTAGTAGTCAAGCAGAATAAAAATACAAACGTTATGTAACACCGTGTGAAATTCAATAACATAGAATTTAACATTTCAAGACAAAGTTGATTTAGAATGACAAGTGGGACAAGTGAAACAATACCGTGGATAATTCAAATTCAGAAAAGTAATAGTAACAGTTAACGTAATAAGGAAGTATACATAAAGTGAATAAAGAAAACGAAAAATAAATAGACCCAAAATATGATTGGGGATAACCATATTTTATCAACTCATCTACTCGCGTGGAGCTGGCTGTATCGGTCATTCGACTCGAGTTGTGTCGAAGAGGGTGCAAGAATACTGTTCTGCATGGTTACACAGACGTGGAAGTGGAGCAATGAGAAGCGCGATCATTGAGCATCTGGTCAATAATCATCACCCTATCTCTAAAGCCTTCGACTTTAAAGTCATCTTCAAGGCGGAAAGTAATTCACCCAAATCACTACCTACTTGACACATCCGTATTACTGAATTTTTGGCTATCGAAACATGGTCTTAATCCCTCTATGCTAAAGTATGGCAATCCCTAATCAAATTTTGGCTGTACCAATTTTTTCGTTTTGTCTATTCAGTTTATATACTCTTCCTTTATAACGTCAATTGTTACTATTTCTATTCACATTCTGAATTTTTCCTGATGATTTTGACTGGACACTGGTAAGCAAGTAGTGTATTGTGTGTGTGTGTCTAGCTCTGTATTTGGTGCAGACTGAATTCTATCAGTCAGGTTTGCAATGTGGCCACCATGCTAGATGGCTCGCCATCAGAGTGCACTTTGAATTGTTGGTATTAGATCTTTGGTGGCAATCCACAGGAAGCCTTGCTTGAACTAGCTTTCGTGCTAGTTGGCACTCACCAATCAGCAAGGCGTATCTGCAACCTTGAAGGGACCCATGTCTCTTCTGAGATTCGAATCCGTGTCACCTAGTCCAGCTGTCCCCAGCATTATCTCACTTGTCATTCTAAATCAACTTTGTCTTGCAACGTTAAAGTCCGTGTTATCAAATCTCACACGAAGTTAAGTAACCTTTTTATTTTATATTTTATCTGATTTACCTACTAATTCTGTAATTTCACATCCCTTCACATCCAAGCATTTCAATTTCAATCGAATTCCATACTGTTATTATTTGTATTCACACCTGCGATTCAATTCCCTCACCTGATATAATTTCTTTGAAGCTTTGGTAATATGCTGTTAAATAACTAAGCACTTACAACAGACACGAATGTTTAAAAAAATTCTGCATTGTTAAAACTAAAACAGAACATATCACTACTTCATCTAAGGTAAATAATGCCGAAAGTTTGCCGAAGGAGGTTTATTATTCCCTATTTAGGTTGATGGAGTCATTAGGTCCCTTCACACTGATCTTAAATCATCTTTACAATAAAGATAAACAAAAGGAAAGTTATACGCCTCTCAGTTACAAATCGATACTAGCCTACTTTTTCACGTAATACCTACCTACCCACCTACCACAGTGTACTGGAATTTTAAAATCATAGGGAAACAGTAATATCTTTTCAGAGTGTTTCTACTTTTCACTGCAAAGCTAAGCTGACCATAATCAAAGGTAGTTTATAGACCTATAGTTAAACCAGAATTCTGCATGCAATTTTACACAAGTTACATAACATTCACATTATCATTACTACTACTGTCGTCATGCATACAACCCTCTTTATATCACTGCACAATTACTTTGATATGTAAATATTTTAAAGAAGAGAATATAACTTACAAAAATCAATAGATGAATTCTCCCATGAATGATTATATCGATTATTATTATTATTATTCTCCAATGGATTTATTACAATTTTATATTGTCCTGAAGAAGATTTCAATTCTATACAAACTGTAGAAGTATGCGGCTTAACAATTTTTGACAGAATACACTCATCCACTTTCGGTAAAGTGTCAATGTTATACTGAGACACTTTAGTCGATGTTTTCTTTACACCTGAATAAATTGGGTCTTCATCAGGGACCTCGCTGTTGGTTTGTATCATTTTATTTGATAAGTGATAAGAATCGGCCAGCAATGGATCAATGTCTGACATTGGATGACTACTCCTGATTCGATTATTATGACTACTATTAATATTATATGTAATATTATTGGTTATATTACTTATACTACTAGTAGAAGTAGTGTCAGTAGTATAGTCAGATATATCACAATTATAGCTCAATAGGTTATTATAATTTAAATCATATATTGTAGATAACATTGAATAGGCTTGTATCAGCCTTAAGACGAATAGACTCGATGAGGCGTAAATGTCATCATATAATAAATTGTCAACATCACAGTTGGTAAAAGAATTAGATAAATATTTAATTGGCAGTTGAACAGTTGGTGGTATAACTGTCGATGATAAGGGTACCAATGGTAGCATTTTAGTCGATGAATCACCATCATCATCATTCTTAACATCAGTATTAATATTCAAGTTATAATTACAGTAAATATTATTATCATCATTATTATTATAATGAACACGGTTAACTGGACAAGATTTCTCCGTCTTTAGTCTTATTGTTGTTGTTCCTGTTGTCGGTAAGACCTTCAGTAGACTAAAATGTCCATTAATTAAATTTTTAGATAAATTTAAACTATACTGATTGATTGGTTCAATGTCTAATGAAGATAATGCGTTTGCATCAATATTAGATATTAAATTTGTTAATCCTACAGCCACTGTACTGTACATCTGCATATCTAAGGGATGCTTAACGTAGTATACCTTAGACAATGAATTGATAACAATATTTTGAGCAATTGGATTTATACATGGAGTAATATATACAGGGGTTTCTAGGGTAAAGAAGGATAAAGAGAATGCAGAAAGCAATTCATCGCTTAGCTCAAATATTGGTTCTGCATAGCATAATTCTAATGGATATTTTAGATTACATTTATCATTTGATGAGAACTCTGAGAAATTGCCGTTTTGTAATAATTCATTTGATTGAATATCTTTCGCATTGACGTTGGTTTGAATTGATTGAAGCCAAGGATGGCTGAGGCATTCTCTTGCAGACATACGTCGTCTGGAAAAAGAAATGAATTCGGTAACACAATGAAAAAAATTAAGTTTTCCATGAGAAAGAAACTCTTCATTTTGAAAACAATTTATATGTTTGATTGCAAAATAACTGCAGTTCAATGACTCACACTGGGACATTTAATATGTCTCTCTTCTGTCTAGGAGATTTTCAGTCACATAATAAGTTAGCATTATTGCTGAAAGCTCATCGGGATTTGATTACTTAAGATTTTTCAATGACTTGGCAAGTATTTGATTAGCTGATTCTCTGAGTATTCTGTAAAGTGTATGGTTCCATTGGTATGTTATCTTATTCTTTCATAATAGTTAAGAGAAGTTAGAATTCATAAGACATTGAATTCTGTCAAAGCTGCCGAGCGGTCAATGAGCTCACCTTGTAACCTGAGGGTCTTGGATTCGAATCTCGGTGCAGATAAAGGTGAGTACTGTTAAAGAGTCCCAGACAGAAGGGGCGGGGAAAAAAAGAGCTACCCATTACTCCCTGACTTCCAATGGTTCTCAAACTGATATCAATCCGTTATCAAATCTGAAAATTCATCAAGTTCCTGCAAATTAACACTTGAAGATTAAGAAATCGGTTAGTGATTTCTGACTATATACCTTGCAACTACCTGAACATGATGAGTCAACTTATGTCTAAAGGTAGAATGTTAATTACTCTTCAGAAGCCAGTTTTCATTAAATGCCAACAGTCCTCCAAAATAGTACTTTCAAGTCAAATTTTATAGCCTATAATTTCGGTCTTTACCTTCAAAATGGACTATTGGGCTTCAGGGGTGAAGAAAACATCCAGTAGCAGCGTTGCTATTTGGTTTCAGGGCGGGGTTACTAGCCTTACGTCAAACTTCCCTCTTCTCCAAGGTTACTATTGGCTAGTAAACTAAGTAAGACCAACAGTGTGCTGGACGAGAGTCAAACTCAGATCATATTTATTTTATTTTGATTATAGCTTGAAACTATACGGTACTTTTGGTACAAGTATGGAATTTTCAGCATATGGTATTGATAGTCCAAATTTATCAGGCCGACCACTGATATCAGGTGTGCGTCGGCAGGTGATTGAACCCTGTACCATGTGTATGGTCGGTGAGCGTCCTAATTACTGCGCCAACGACGCACATTCTATCATTGGACCACTGATGTCTTATTCAGCTGTGTGATAATGTTTAGCAAAGACTCTCAATTATGTCATCTTTTGCATAATAACTGGGCTTAAAAAATAGTGATTGGTGTGAAAATAATGATCAAATATACAGCCAAATCGGCTGACTCGGAATTTCCGCTTTTCATTAAGAAACTCATTAGGTAGGTCGAACACTGGGTGGAACACATCAAGAGGATGGTGATTCCAACTCTACCACGATACATATTTGTATTTTACCTGGAATTTATTAACATTTTTGCTTAGTCAGGACTGTCTATCTCAAGAAAACTTAACAATAAAGTAAATAAAAACGAAGCTTCGCTTTCAAACAAACAAATTTTATGTATAAATATTCAAAATATAAATTTATGAGTTCTTAGGCGCCACAAATTAGAAGTTCTGTTTATCTTTCTATTTAATTTACTTTTTAGCTGGATTATTCAATGAAATATACACTAGAAAAAGTTTCACAGTTGTTGTTGTTGTTACTGTTGGTTTTCTCGGTTTTCAGCTTATCGTCATCTTTCATGTCTGCATCAAACTAGACTCCAGCTGTTTAAATTTCTCAGATAACAACTATAACAAACTGATAAGATCAATGATCACTAACTAGTATCAGATATAAATTGTCGACAGATAGAGAACCATTGAAAGACCTGCAGGGAGTACTGGACAGTTGTTTCGTCCTTGTCTGGGACTCTTCATCAGACACGCCCACCGCCAGGGTTTGAACCCAGAACGTTCTGATTACAAGGATAGCGAGCTCGTAGACCATTAAGCTACTGGGACCCATCGATTTTAACTTCTGCCAATTCATAACATAGCGTGATGTCAGTTTATGATGAAATCCTCCTCAAACAAAATCCCTACATAAACCAAATACTTCAAAATGTCAACATAGAGTTTGTACATTAAAAGGAAATCACGCCTAGTTTTCTCATAATCTGGCGTAGAAAAGAATATATGAATATTACCTGGTGCATTATTACTACAAGATGAATGATCACCATTCGAAACAAAGTTAAATCTTAACAATAAAAGCAATGAGTATAATAAATTTTTGATACCTGTTTAACAAAGAACACTAACTTTTTAAAAAAAAAGGCAAAATCAGAGATTCGTTCTCTAATCTTTGAATAATTACATGGTGATAGAAATTCCATAGTTGAAAGACACAATTATGCTATCACAGCACAAATAATCTTATGCACCATACCCCGTGCCACACACACACACACACACACGCATACTCACAGACAAAGCCTATAGTCTTAAGCTTCGTCTACACTATTTATCACCTCACAACAATGGAGTGAAATAAATTAAAGAAAGAAGATTAAACACAGATCACTTTTCTTGTTATTGTTTCTCCCTTTGTATTTGCAAGTTTTATGCCAAAAACTTTAAAAAAAACATTTAAAAAAAACTAGTTAAAAAAAGAAGAGAAAAACAAATGCGTTGAAAAAGAAATTTTTTTCGTAAGAAATATTATTTCCTTCTTCTACTTAAAAATTCTTTCTGGTGTGATTTATTTGAAAAATTGCCTCTCTAGCATTCATCACTATTATCATTATTAATGTAGAGGTATGTGTGTATATGCATCAGTGTATAAGGAATTTGTCTCTACTTTTGGACAGATGAGTGTGTAGTAATTTTTGGACGCCATTACTCTGTGCGGATATATTTGTGTGCGTCTGTGAGTGTATATATATACATGTATCAGTTGCTTAAGCGCGCTGGGTTTTTTTTGTGTCTGCCTTGCACAATGAGTCTCTTCGTCTTTCTCTCTCTCTCTCTGTGTCTCTGTGCGTCAGTCAATCAATTCACCGTTGAATTCAATGTGCAATGATTCACTCACTATTATCTATTATCAACAGGATGATGATGTGATCAAGACTATATAGTAGCTATTAGGTTTTATGAAAAACTAAATTACTTGATATCAAGCCAACATACAGTGTGTAAGTGATAAATTTGCGAAACGAAGAAAAAGCTGGATAAGTAATGGACAGCTACTTTGTGACCAGTGTGATCCATCCAGTCAAGTGTGAAGATGGATGTTCCACCTATGAAATTGGTTGGTGATCGCGCTAAATCACGAATTGGTAGAAGTTAGAATTCATGGGTTGGTCGCTGATTTGCATCCCAGTGGATGAATGGTATATGAGCTCGCTAGTTTTGTAACCGGAATGTCCTAGGTTCTAACCCCCCATGTGGTGGGTGCGTACTGCCGATGATTCTCAAACTAGGATGAAACAGCTGGCTGTCCAGTACTCCTTGGTGGTTTTCAATGGTTATCTAACTGATAGCAATTCATGATCAACTAATAAAAACAAAACTAATCCTTACATACCAATTATAGAATATATATTTATTTATATTAGCTTATATTTTGTATTTCAATCATTTACACTCCCAATAGAATACTGGGCTTCAAGCTTTGAGCTTTGAAGATTGAGTAGCAATGGTGTTTACTGTTTACGGGATGAGATTGCTTGCCTCACCTACCCAACCTTCTCTTTTTACCAGACCCACTGCAGGCTAAGCGAGGTTAAACAGTAAGTCGGCCTGGGGTCAAACCCTAAACCACGTGAGCGGTTGGCGAGGAAGAAACTGTTGTATTCTGCTTAATGAATCCTGTTCTTGGTTAAAAAATTTTTATTATAGCTTGATTCCACACAGTATATTAGTACACCTATGGAATTTTCAGTATGTGATGTCGGTAGCCAAAATTTAGCAGGCCAACTATTGATTTCAGGTGTGTTTCGGCCGGGGACTGAACCCTGGACCATGTGCATGGTTGGCGAGCGTCCTAAATGCTGTGCCACCAACGCACTAATAGTGTAGTGAAGATCTGAGAATATTCACACCAAGAGTTGTCGTTATTCTCATGGAATTGATGACTACAGTTTGTAACTCTAGGTGAAGCGGAATGATTTTTGACAGTGAACATTACGCCGAAGTAAGTTGAGATAGAATGGTGCATAATGTTAATCAAGTTGCTATAACGTGTAAATGAGGACAATGATACGAGAAGACAACCTGGATAGAGATAGGAGGAAATCAAGACGATACTGTCAAGACAAGATGCTTTCGTTATACGAACTAGCAAAAAAGGAATGGGTATATATTTTCAAATATAATTAAAAATAAATTATGGAGTATTTCTTAGTCATATACTTAAAACTCGCTAACATCTTGCAACTATGTATCTACTTATCGTCCTCTCTTACTTTCTTGTATTTCACCTAAGTTTTATCCTACTTTGTTTTTCCTTGTAAACAGATCTTTAAGATAATTTGAGCCAGAGGAGTTTTGCATCAAAGTTAACTTTAATCCCTGATAGTGTCAGTCGATTAGATGTCTCCTAAAATGAAACAGTAGGTATTTAACACATCTGTTAACAAGGCCGACATGAAAGTCGGCGAAATTGAAGAATGCCGGTTCAAGCCGTCTATTGGACGAACAGTTAGGCCTTATATAAGTAATAATGAGGAACAAATTGAGTTTATTACTGATACTGTGAATACTGTCCATGATTTCAGGAAATTTTATCATCCAAATAAGTGCTTTGAACTAAACTGTAACAAATAATTTTTAATCTTATTTCTATTCTAAATCTAATTCTATCTCCCTCCCCCCTTGTCACATCTACGAGGAACTAAGAATAGTTCTTGAAAACTTTCAACATAAGGAGTCTATTTGATATTATTACGCTTCCCTTAACATACTTTTTTAACCTAAAGGTAGCCTGATTTACTGTGAATGGTTGCTTGAAGATGACTGAGTTGGTCATTCAGTGGAATTATTATTTTTAAAGTGACAAGATGGAGTACCTT